AAGCTTATTTTGATTTTATATACAACAACTTTAATATTCCAACTATTTAAATAGTACACTTGATTTAAGGATTAAGATATGTAGAATATTATTTTTTATATTTTAAACGACTTAATAATTTCGATTTAAGATGTCCATAAACATTTTACCTACGATGTTTTTAATTTCTAAAATAAAATCATCGAGACAAATATTACAAAAAAATTTTCAATTTCCTTAATCTAAAATTTTCAATTTCCTAATCTGCTTACATAAAATAAGGTTACAATTTACTGACACGTAAAGATGAAAAAATTATTTTGATCCTATCGAAAATGTGTTTTGTTATTTTGAGAAAAAAACAAGTAAACAAACAAAATAGTTACCTTCCAACAATATATTTTTTGTTCGAAAATTAAATGCTTTATTGTTTGAGAAATTCGTAACAATTTCATTTTAAGGTTTTATTTGCTCTATTTTTGTTAGACAAATGTAACTTTTTTAGGACAAAAACCTCTATGTAAAGAGAATCCGCTCTTTACTTTCCTTTTGCTATGTTGCTCGTACTAATTCGTGTTGGTACGAAGCAATGATAACAACTAAAATTTTTTGAACAAATTTTGAATATTGTTGACTAAATGCCATCTATCTAATTGAATTCCTAACTAAATGAACTCCTTCAACTTATAATATTTGAGGGGAATAAATGATTTACAGTAAAAAAGGAAAATTAATCTATGACTCAAATAGTGGGGGGGGGGGGGTAAGATTTTAATAAAGTACCCTTTTGAGAAACGAGGAAAAAATATTTTTATTAGTTTTATTTCTGCTTTGTTGTAATCACAATAGTGTACAAATTCGTACCTGTATTAAAGAATTTAAATCGTTTACTTTCGTATATTTTTTGGAGAATTATTTCTGAAATAAAAATTTTTCTCATGATTTTATAAATTTAAAAATGTATGCTTACACAGACTTCATTTTTCAATAGTTGCTCATTTAAATAAATTTAAAATAATTTTTTAGAAACGTTTAACAACTTAAATAATTATTTTAATTAAATGTAAGCTCTGATAAATTAAAAATTATAATAAAGCAGCACCACTCTGATGGATAATAAGCCAGTATTCCGCCTTTAAGCGCCACAGTAAAAAATTTTAAGAATTTTAAATCTCGAAGCCAATTTTTTAATTTTTCAGAGAAAAAAATTTTAAAGAAATATCCATGGTTTTACTTGACCTTATGAGTCGAATCGAAAAATAATTGAATTTTTCTTGGTGTATCATGTAGGGGTATGGTTCAAAAACATTTCTTCATGTTCGGGACATACGCCACATCAGACGGAGGGGGGGGGGGTATGTATTGGCAACTCGGGAGCAATTCTGAAAATACAAAATTTAATTTCTGTGTCTTAAATGTCTCAAAATTGAAAAAAATCGCCTGCAATACTAAAAATCTAAAATTCTGGTGTCTACCAATTGACTTTAATAATTCAAAATGTTGCATTTTATAATAAATGAATTTAGTTTTTTTTCTATTTTTGATATTTATTTTACATACTATCTAGGAATTAAATAATATTTTTAAAATTATATACCTACATATTATATTTTTAAATATTTGTATACATAATTCTAATTTATTATAAAAAATTTATATTTTACTAGAATTTATTTCATAAAAATTTAAATTATGTATCCTCCACTAAATAATTTAATAAATGGAAAAATTATTACAAATGGAAGAACAAACAATAATTTTTTAATTTCAACAAAATACTTTTTATGTTTAATTATTTTAACTTTTATTTTTTGTTTATATTTTTTGTTACAAATGTGGCCAAATAACAGTTATGATAATTACAAAATTCTTCTTAATGAAAAATTAATTAATTCAAATTTACTTTTTGAAAGAAAAGTATTAGAAGAATGTAATGAAAATGATAAGAATAGGTTGGTTTTAGGAGTAATTAAATTTTATTTTAATGGACCTCTAATTTTGATTTCCAAAATTTAAATTGGTTAGTTATGAAAAATTTTTATAGCTATAATTAATAAAAAGAAATATGAATAACAAAGTAAAATAAGTAAGTGAGGGATCCATTCCGTTTTGGATCATCAACCAGGGGTCTGTTTCAATTAGGATCACATCTGCGATGTGATGATATGATGATCATATGCATGTTCCAATTAGGATCATATCATCATATCGTCATAATCATATGCAGGAACGTCATATGACGGCTGCATATGATTTGTCCGTCATATGACGACGTCGTATCATCATATGATTGTTTCAATTTAAAATCGTATTTACGATATGATGGGTCGTCATATCGTCATATTTCCGATGTGAAGGAAAAGGGAAAGAAATATTTTTAATTTCTCCCAATTTTTTTTTGTGTTGATGTGTGGCTGAATGGTTAAGGCGTCTGACTTTACTCACTGTTAGTTCCATAGGGTTGGGTTCGAGTCCAAGGTTGCAAATTAGGCCGGAAAAAATTTTTTTTCAAAAATAAATGTTTTTAAACTTTGATTTTCATTTTAGATTTTAAAATTTATTTTTTTTAATATTTTAAACTTGAAAAAACATTAAAAATTTTAATTCAGTCATTAATTAGCCAAAATTCTCAAAATTTTCGCCTGTGGCGCAAAAAATGGAGGAAATAGGAAGATAACTCAGAAATAGAAAGGAAGTCAAATTTTTTAATTGGATTAATATGTGATGAGCAGTGATGGGCAAAGTTCCAGTCCCAGTTCCGGAACTAATTAGTTCAGCTTAACTGTCCAGTCCCAGTTCCGGAACTAATTAGTTCAGCTTAACTGTCCTAAAACTTATAAAATTTAAAAGATGACTGATTGAAATAATCAAAAATAACTAATAAAAAATGCCTATTGGAGAGAATGAGTCCCTTTTTCGCTCAAAAATGGAGTACTTTACGCGAGAAGGCATAGTAAATTTATTTTTAAACAAAAATTTTTATAAATTATATCAAAAAATAGAGCACACTCTATCCTATCTAAAAATATTTAATTTGGAATTTTTAGGTTGAATTAGGATTTTTAAAAAAATTTTTAAAAACTCTTTAATTGGCACATATGTACCAAAAAGCACGTATGTCTACATATGATGTTTCCAAGGCAAAACTCATCATATGACGAACATCATACGTCTCAATATTTTGTAATTGAAACATACGTATGATTAATCATATGATAAATCATACGCCGCGTATGATTCTACGTACGATGTGATGATCACATCAGCGATGTGACGATATGATTAATTGAAACACGCATATGATTTTCTCATATGATTAATCACATCTGTGATGTGATTATTCGTATGATTTTCCTGAAACACGCATCGGGGATATGATTCTTCATCACATCGTATCATCACATCGCAGATGTGATGCTAATTGAAACAGGCCCCAGTCCATACTGATTCAGTCCATTTGACAAGCCTAAAAGATATATTTTTGGGTTACACCCCGATGTACCGCGAGCCCAATGTACCGCCGAGATATAACTTTGTTCGAAATTGTCGAATCCGTGTCCCCTAGTATGGTTCGATGCGGATCAACTAAAACTTTGTTCGAAATTGCTTGGCGGTACATTCAGACAAACGACGGCTCGGCGGTACATTGAGCTCGCGGTACACTGGCCTGCTTCCATATTTTTGCATTTGAATTATGTGGCGTCAATTAAATTTAGATTACTTATTATATTATCAATTAATTTTTAAAACTAGAAACGATACAAAATGGCCTTCAATATGTTGTGGGGAGGAAATGGCATATTCATTTATTATTCAAACAAACGACAAATTAACTAAGACTATGGTTAGCGGCGAAAGATTTGATTGTAAACATTTGCAATTAATTGATAAATATAAACTTACTGATAAATACAAAATTAAACAAGAAATACCTGTTAGTTTGAATTTAAAATTATGTCAAAATAAATATACTATTTAAGTTTACTAGGGTAGCAATGATACCCTCTTAATTATTCCAAATCCTACATCTGGATTCCAAATCAATCTATACTCCACTTAATCCACGAAAATTCCTCTTAATCCTCCCAAATAATCCAAAATGATCTACCTATAATCTGAGAAAGAATCTCGGTTGTTTCCAAAGCTCCTAAACAATATTTTATCTAAGTCACATTCCATTCAATTGTCTCCAAACTTTTTACAAAACTAATGATTTAAATTACAGTTGCGTTTCACTCCTGCCGGGGATCTCTTTTTTACTCCTAATAGAGCATTTAATTGCCTCAACTTTGGTTATAATTAAAAAATTTGCAGGGGGTTACCCATTGGTTCTAAATTAATTTAACATTACCATAAATATTAAAAATTTTAAAAGTTGAAAAGGCCAGGAAGTAAAGGTTTTACGTTTGTTACTGCCTCGGACGGAGCAGTTCAACTGAGTCCGCACGATTGAGTCCCCACGATTGAGTCCGCACGATTGAGTCCCCACGATTGAGTCCCGGCACAATTGAGTCCCCACGATTGAGTCCGCACGATTGAGTCCCCGTTGTATATACCTCAATTGAGTCCCCGTGGATTTAATTTTAAAAATTCCCGGTAGGGGACACTTGTGTACCGGCCGTTTGTGTACCGCCGGTTGTGTACCCACCCAAAGGGGGACGTTTGTGTACCCGCATTATTTTCCTAGATTTTTTTATTGTTTTTTTTTTATTTTTTTGTTTTTCTTTTGGGGTTTGCAACTAATTTTGTTAATTAGTTGACCGAGCATCCACTCAAGTCCATCCGAGCACTGAATTTTCTCAATGAGGACGAGAGGGAGGACGAGAATCTTGTGTAGGTAAAAGTTTAATTTTTATTTTTTAATTTTAGATTTTATATTTCAGGTTGGTCTAACTTTGCTCATCACGTGTCGGACTTCATCCACGGCTGCAACGATGGGAAATTTGAAAAGGTTTGGAATTTTTATTTTGTTTTTCGTTTTTATTTTTAAAATTTTTTAGTTGATTTTCGTCAGTTTCTGACTGGCGATTTTCAAGTTCACAGTTTCTGAAGGAACGAAGGTGGTGAACTTAGGAGAACAAATAACGAAAGAAAGGCCCTTCTTTGGCACACTAATTGAAGCTAGACTTTGGTTTTTTTTAATTTTTTTGATAAAATTTTTAAAAAATATTTTTTTATTTTTTTTTCACATTTTGATTTTCTCCCGTATCCAGGTAAATTCTGCCGGAGTCCGAAAATTAGGAAGGAGTTTTTACGTTCGTAATTTAGATAGTTTCCCCTACCCTCCATAGCAGCACAAAAAGTTTTTCCAGCGAAGATTCTGTTGGTCAAAATTTGTTCAGAATCATTCAATCAACTTGATTTTGGTCTTATTCAACTCATCTCGTCGATCCCTTTCGAATGAGCTATTTTTTGTTTATTCGAATGTTTCGCAACAAAAATTCCCCATGGAATTCCACCAAAAAATCCACCATTTCGAGCCCCATATCTCGGCGAGAACTTGTTCAACAATGTTGATTTTCGTGTCATTCGACTCACTACTTTCGAATGAGCTTTCATTCAAAAAATCTCTCGATATCCCTCCTAATCCCCAAACCCACAATATCCATCTTAATCTCTCCGAATTTGTTGATATCTGCCTTAATTCAACCGATATCCCCGCTTAAATCTACTTATATCCCTTGATATTCACCAATATCCATCTTGATACCTCGATGTCGCATACAAGTCCCCTGATATTAACATTAATCCCTCCAAATCCCCAAATATCCCTCTTAATCTTTTTTAATATAATTAAATCCACGGGGACTCAATTGAGGTATATACAACGGGGACTCAATCGTGCGGACTCAATCGTGGGGACTCAATTGTGCCGGGACTCAATCGTGGGGACTCAATCGTGCGGACTCAATCGTGAGGACTCAATCGTGCGGACTCAATTGAGGTGTACCGTGCCTCGGATATTCCATACTATAATCCAATGAAAAAACTTTTATATAATCTGAAAAAACAATTTGGTTGTTCTCAAAAGATTATTGGTTATGATCTTGGAGGTGTTAGTGAAGATAAAAACAAGGTAATTGAATTTAAAAATGAATCAAATCAAAGTAAAAATAAATATTCTGAAAATAAGAAAATCTTAGCGGTAAGATCAGGTTTGAAGTAAGAAAACAAAAATTTCAAATAATGTCCATTTGGAAAGAGCTTTTTGTAGTAAGTCGAAGGAGAACAAAATATAATGTAAATAGTACATATGTATATCAGGGATCACGATTCCCGAAAATCGTGAATTCCCGACGATTTTTGGCTTGTGAATTCACGATTCACGAAAATCGTGAATTCAAAATTTTCGTGAATTTACTATTCCCGAAAATCGGGAATTTTATTTTCTGTCGGCGCGATCCCTGATGTATATTTCTGTAGCTATTGAGACTTAGGAATTAGTAATTTTTTATAATAATTTTAAATAAAAAAAGATGGAAGAATTAAATGCTGTTTGTGGACTAGAATGGCGAAAATTTAATTGGAGCATTATGCCTGCGGATCTTCGTTTTCCGCGTGTTTATGCATGGAAATTTTATGTTTTGGCAGTATTTACATAATTTACATAATTAATTAACTATTCAATTAAAAGGAAATATATACAGAATATGATACTTTTACATGGATGGACTCTGCTATAGTACTTAATGACGGAAAATCGTTGAACTCAATTTTTGATGGCATGGAACATTCGACAATATCTAAAGTTGTTTTCCCTGGGAGTGCAGGTAGCTTCGATCCAAATATTCCTTTCGGGTCTACATTTTGATAGAGAATTTGGAGAAAATTTTAATTTACTTTAAAAAATTTTATTTTTAAATCAGATCCTTCCCATAGTGTACAATTTGCAACAAACGTAAGTGAGTAATTTTTATTTGAGATTGTAACACTACTTAAAATATTTAAGGGATGTATACGTTCATCCCTTTGGTTTCCAACTTAATTAAAATTGAAAATAAATGGGACGAAAGAATGATCGCTTCTGGTTTTAATATAATGCACAAAAGCGAGTATACAAGACAGCTGCTAAAATGGTGTAAAGAAATTTTTTAATATCTCAAATTTTAATAGAAGAATTAAAGTTTAAGCTCTTTATCCTTCATGAGATATGAGGGGATAGATTACACATAAATATTAAAAACACATTAAAACTAATAAATGTTTTAAAAGGGCTCTTCTTTGTGCAGCAACTAAACAATGTATTAATCCTGAAGGTTCCAAACTAGGTTGTCCTGAAGCTTCTTCTACTCCATCGTGTCATAGATTTGATCAAAGCCTTTATGCTCTTCTTACTATTAATAACGAGTATCAACGTTATGTTTTAGATAATGGTGAGACAATATATGTATAATACATATATAGTTCTTTATAAATTCTTCAAGTAAAAACTTAAGTTTTTTATCCTCTATGCGATGTGATAGGATATGAGATGGGATGTGATAGGATTTCATTATAAAGTAAAAATTATTTTAAAAAAGTCCCTTCCATTGTCCATCCCTTTATTAATAGAAATTAAAACTAATAATAATCCAATTTTTCAGATAGAAACTTTCTTCCACATTTCCATCATGATCATCCTAGAACAAAAGTTCGGCATCAAGTACAAAGAGGCACAAGTTTGGATAAAAATTTGGATTTTAAAAAAGGAGTTGAATGTTGTTAGAAACCGTTTGATTAATAATTGATATAAAATTTGTTTAACTATTAATCGTGTTAATTTTCTAATAGCCAACTATTACTAACCAAATCGGAAAAGACTTCTTGCTCTAGAACTTTTTGAGCTCTAAATGCAAACCAATATAAATTTACTATGAATAAATTTACTACAAATAACTAGGGTTTTACCCCGAATGGTCGGGGATCGGTATTTATAGAGCTCCGAAAACAAACTCATAAACTAAACACATTCTGAGTATTTGTAACTATCCGGATATATGTATCCGCAGGCAACCGGATATTTTCCGTAAACATGCATAGGCAGGCTTTAATTATAAATTTGGAAATATTCAATTTTTAATACATTTATTATACATATAATACATTTATTTTTCGAAATTGGGAGAGCCAAATTTTATTATTTTTAACATTAAAACGATAAAATTTACTCTGTAAAAATTTTTAGCACAAAATTAAAGTTTATTTCATAAAATTTAGGTTTATTATTTTTCTTTACTTTACACGTTTTTATTTTTTATGATCAAAAGTTATTTGAAAATTCGATAAAATGATTTTTGAGTAAATTAAACAAAAAATAAAGCCAAAATTTATAAACATTGCTAAATAAAAGTTCGAAACCTTTTCATTTTTTCATTTGCCCTGAAAAAAGATGAATAAGTGATCTTTCGATATTTAAAAATTTGTAATTGATAAGCTAGCCGAACATGAGTTTAAATTTTATTTAATTTGAATTCCTGACCGAATTCAATCTCGTAAAGCTAATTTTAATTTATTATAGAAAATTTGTATTTTAATAAAGTTTATTTCCTAAAAATTTAAATTACCGTATTTCCTCAAATAGTACAGGCGGCCGTAATATTTTTCAACTCTCTTCTAAAAAGCCGTACTAATTGAGGGGGCCACACTATATTTCAACCCTCCGTCGGATTTATCTGAATAATTTTTTGGTAGTGCCACCTTGAATTAAGTCTGTGTGTATTGAAATTTTTTTCTTTTTCTATTACACACACTAGTATATACATGAAAACTCTCCTTAATAATATGCCTAGATCCTAACTGAAATTACCAAAGGTCTTAAAATTTAAAGCCATATAATTATAAAAAGAACAAAAATTAGGTTTTTAGAGGATTATCGAGGGTTTTGTTGTATTAATCGAATGTTTTGAGGTGTTAAAATAAATATTACAGGGAGATTTAAGAAGGCTTAGTAGTAAAACAGAGAGGCCAAAAACAGAGGTGGAAAAACAGAGGCTAACTTTTAAAATTTCATAAAATTAGCTTTATATTTCGAGGATAGTTAATATAATTCAAAGTGATGATTTTGTACATTTATTAAATGGTGGCCGTACTAATAAAGGGGGTCGTACTAATTGAGGGCGCCGTTTATCAACCCTCATCGAAAGCCGTACTAATAGAAGTGGCCGTTCAAATTAAGGGGGCCGTACTATTTGAGGAAATACAGTATGTATTCTCCACTAAACAATTTAATTAATGGAAAAATTATTACAAATGGAAGAACAAACAATAATAATTGTTCAACAAAATACTTTTTATGTTTAATTTCTTTAACTTTTATTTTTTGTTTATATTTTTTGTTACAAATGTGGCCAAATAACAATTATGTTAATTACAAAATTCTTCTTAATAAAAAATTAATTAATACAAATTTACTTTTTGAAAGAAAAGTATTAGAAGAATTTAATGAAACCGTTGAAAATAAGTAAGTTGGCTCTAGAACTAATTAAATTTTATTTCAATTGAGCATTTAGGTACATCATTTTACACTGTAAAACTAGTGGAAGTAATTAATATCAGAAAAATAACGCCTGATTTGGTCAGCAGTGATGTAAAAGTTCCAGTTCCGGAACTAATTAGTTCTAGTTCCAGAACTAAAACTACGGAACTAGCGATTATCTTGAACTAGCTTGGAACTAGAACTACGGAACTAGTAAATGCCTGGAACTAGCTTTGGAACTAGTTCTGGAACTAGTTCTTCGGGGTCCAAAATTCTCAAAATTTTCGCCTGCGGCGCTGAAAAACCACCTCTCTAGTAGGATTAAAAGTATATTGGTGGACGGGTTGTCACGGGTATCATTGGAATAGTAGGATATCGGAAGATTAAGAGCATTTAAAGTGATATTTGGTGCGTATATAATCCATCCTCTAGCTCCACTGATATCTCACTTAACCCATTTGCCTTACACTAATAAGAGTGCTATAGGTGGACAAGATATCACGCGTATCAATGGATAAGTAGAATATCGGAGGTCGATTGTGCTGCACACTAAATGATTTTTTAAATTATGCCTTTATTTGTTAAAATTGATAAATCCTTTCATATCCAAAAAAATTTAAAAATTTGGAACTAGAACTAGCTTGGAACTAGTTCCAGAACTGGAACTGGAACTAAGGAAGTGCAAAAATGGAGTTCCGGAACTGGAACTACAAAAATTAAAAACTTGGTTCCGGAACTGAAACTGGAACTACTAAAATTAAAGCCAAGTTCTGGAACTGGAACTAGTTCCAGAGAAATTTTGGAACTCTGACATCACTGTTGGTCAGCATCAGGCCTATTTGGGGAAAAACATGCATTTGCCTAAAAATCCTGGCTCTAATTATTAGATCCTGCTTATATAATAGACATGAGATAATTAGGCTTACGGATTTTTGTTTCGGGTTGAGTCTCGGATTACGTCTATAGATTTAAAATTAAGATTGGCAAAGATTTTTTTCATTTGCTGTTATCCCTGGTCGTTATTGAATAGGCGCTGATAAATTTTTGATTAATTATTATAGAAACAATACAAAATGGCCTTCAAAATGTTATGGGGAGGAAATGGCATATTCATTTATTATTCAAACAAACGACAAATTAACTAAGAATATGGTTAGCGGTAAAAGATTTGATTGTAAACATCTACAATTAATTGATAAATATAAACTTACTGACAAATACAAAATTAAACAAGAAATACCTGTTAGTTTAGAATTAAATTAATAAATTATCTAAAAATTGATATAATAAACTTCTGCATTTATTAAACAAAGGAGCAATATTTTTACCATAATACTTTACCGTATACATAGTCGGGTAGTAATCGATGGAGATCTAGCAATTTGGAAGGAT